CTTGGAGCTGTCTGTAATGTGCTTTACAACCTTATAGCATTGTCCATTTATCCGTTTCGAGAAAGTAGCTCTCAAGCTCGTTAAGCCTGAAAAGTGACGATCAGCAGACCTTCAGTGTAATTAATGGTAGACATTTAATTATGGCTGTTTACGTCACATGCTCGCGTGCCATTTACACAATTAACTATAGACCAGAGAGTAGAGAGTAACCGCAGCTAATGCCAGGCAATATACTCTTACTTACATACTATGAATGACTGACTACGCAAGTTGCAGCCGCCAAGACTTCAAACGCAGCCGCACACGTGTCTGCGGTTTTGAGGTAGAAACTCCCACACGAGCCTCTCATCGCCATGCGAGTACGAGTTGCGAGCCAAGTTGAGGTAGACAAACATTTCTATAATGGGCAGTTAAACCCTACAAACCACATTGTAGAATAAATAAACAGCAACATAATTTAAAGACTGACGTGTAGAAGTAAAAATAAATCATTGTTCATTGTCCTTTCGGAGACAATGAGGTATCGTCATTACAAATGCACAGCAACGGTCCGCTCAGTCATGCCGATGATTAAGTAAATAAAATAATAACACAAAAAAACCCAAATTCCAGCTAACCCGAACCCAAAGCCAAAAAGACCGTTAGAAGATAGACGTCAGAGATTTTTTACTCATCCTAAACAAATTCGCTAAAGAACAAACAAACCAACAAGTTTGGCGGCAAGCGTTTGTAAAATGTAGCAAAAAATAAAAAAATGTATAAACAATAATTGCAAATTAAAAATTAGGACGTATAAACAATGAAAGAAAAATATAAACAATGCGAGTAAGACAATGTAAACAACAAAAAAACCCCATGCATCGATACATGGAAGTACACTGATAAAAAAGTTGCATAGTACGGATGAATATTTTCATACTACATTTAATGTTCACTTATTTCATATTCAAATCAAAACGAAAATTTTAATAATAATAAAAACATATTCAATTAGTGATTTTAATATGAATAATATTCAAAAAAAAAGTGTAAAACTTCGTTGTTAAAGTGTGCCATATTCAATTTAATGTTGAACCATATTAAATATTAATATGCACACACTTCAAAAAACAAATATTTAAATTTACTTTATTCCATAGTAAATTATAATATTTATCTCAACTTTAATTTGAAGTTTTTTGTAGCCGATTTAAATATTCTAGCAATATATTAAAATTTCAATTAAGTAAGTGTTAATCAATATCAGCTGCTTCTCACTTTTAATATTAATTATTGATCCAAACTATATCTGTACTAAAAAAGCATCAAAAAATTTATTTATAATAACAACAGAACTTTAAAAATACTATCTGCTAAAAATTGTGGTTCTATAGAAAAAAAAATATATATATATTACTTGTAGAAGTAAAATATGCAAGTATGATAATGTCAATATTGAAAATATTGAGTTAAAAAAACAGCGTAGACAAAAAAGTGGAATAAATATTTTATAATTATGAAAAATGAACCTTTGGCGTGAATCAAACCCACATCTCCACATTGTGATTTAATATCGTCACACTTTTACTTTAATATTTGAATATTAAATTCTTAAATTTAAGTGGAAATTGGAAATTTGCGTGCTTTTTTTTATCAGTGTACGAGTGAAGCCAATGTTGGTCTTGAAAATTGTTCACCTTTTTTTGTTTTTATTTTTTATCCACCCACACGCACACAGACAATCCCTCACTCACTCTAACTTACTCAAATTCATGCCACGTGCGGGAATTGTTTAATTAAGACTACATCAAAAAGTTCAACAATTCAGCATCAGCGTCAGCATCAGCATCAGCCAGCCTGCCCGCACTTCTTAGCCACTTCGGTTGCGACTCTCACTATAGTATAGTACATCTGTTGTTTTTTGGCCCTTCCTCTAGTTCTTGCTGCCATTATATAGTACTATTACTGTATTGCAAGAGTTGAGAAGCCGACCTCCACTCGCCAGAGAGCGCGTATTGCCAAATTAAACCGGCTTATTCAGGTAGAAATGTTCGCTGGGACTGGGACTGGCCTCAGAAGGCAAACAAAGGCAGCTTTGCTCATTAGTTGGTTAAAAGCTGCTGCCATTGTTGTTGTTGTTTTCTTGTGTTTGTTGTTATAGGTATTGTCTTGGCAGTTGTGCGTCAACTCTACTGATAAATACGCATAGTAGTAGAGTAGCAAATACCGCAGACAAACATTAGCGCTGCTCATATTTAAGAGCGAACATTGCTTCGGTATTTTGAGGTGTGGGGTTTGGTTTGTGGGCTTGTGGGCTAGTCGTGTCTGTGTGGGTGCGGGTGTGACGACAAGGTCATTGCTACATACTATATGTGCTCGACTGTCATTCAGAGTTGGCGGCACTACATACAAATTGAATTTACACATGCGGGACTCGCATTTACAGTCTTGTTAAATGCCGACGACGTGCTACAGTCCAAGCCCACGAAAAACGCAGTTGAACTAAAACAAAAGATTTCTGAACTTTCCTTCGAAGTGAGCAGAAGAAACATTTAGATAAGCGTTGCAGTAATTAATGCATTTATGTTAATTGTTATCTCAAACTTGTTGGGCAAGGTTCTACATTTTTAGCCTTGTTTGTTTGTTGTTTTTTCATTCAAGCATTTCAAAGACTCTAGCGATATTTCCAAACTCACATTTCGCATAGTCTGATTAATACTGATTGATACTCGTTTTATCTTATCCGCTCTTGCTTACCAACTAATTATATAATCATTTATATATATTAGTTCAGTTGCTTCCCATATTTGCGAACTAAACGTCTAACTACTTTGAGTTGTTCCCAAACTTTATTATTATATTTGACAACTGTGGGCCTCTAAGGCTGCTCAACGTTTCATAACTCCGTTGGAGATTACTGGCCAAGCAAATGTTAAAACTTTAAAACTTCACTCAAAAGTGAGTTGAACATTTTCTCTTTAATATTTTATCTAGTCGTATGGCAGACCCAATTCTAAAAGTACATTTATGGTCAGCATTACGAGAATTACACACACATGTTTGTCCGTCCGTATGTTTAAACGCCGACAACTTTTAAGCTATAACAGCTACGGACACCATACTTAGTTTGCAAGTATACTTCTGAAATCTATGGGCAGATCAAGTCGCATACAAACCATATATAGCGCCATTACTTTTTGTTGCTGCCGTAAGGCCAATCACACCGATTGGTTAACTTTGTTGTTTATGCAAAACATCTTAGTAAATTCTGTTCGTTTGAGTTGTCTCACAACAATCTTTCACTTTATGATATAGTTGTGGTTGGGAATAGGGTATTCTAGACTTGAACGCTGAGTTTGGGTTAAATTAGTACTCTTTTACAAAAATGGCATTTTTAAGCATCTTCCACTGTAGCTTCAGCAGGTGCGAGAAACTTCAAAAGTTAACTGATAGTTTTTTACACTTAAGTTGACAAGTTTTGCGAGTGTAGCAAAACCAAAAGTGCTACTTCAGTTAGTAGCTACTTTTTGTTAACTTTAAGTGACTGTCAAACATGGTCGGTACACTTTCCAAAGCTGCGAGGAGTTGGTCTTGCTTTCTTGAAGAAAGCCGCAAGTGTGACAACAATTCGCAGTACCCGCAGCACGTTCGACTTATCGACATGCCCTCTTAAAGATCACTTGTGTGTTGGTGTCCGTGTCTGGTCCAGTTTTATTTACCTGATCGCTCAAACGTGTTTAACGTGTTCCAGTTGGTTTTTTCGATGCGATAATACAATATTAAATAAAAACAATTCATTGTTTTACTTCAGACAAATTATCCACTTATAGTATATACAAGTAGGAATATATATATTTATAGGCCAATAACATGTGCCCGGCTTCCTTGACATTTTTTAGCTTCATGCATTAAAATTCCATGGAAATTTGACAATTTAATTGTTTATTATGATGGCGCACCCAATGTTCCCAGGGGCATTCTAAATGTGCCAGCAATTATTAAATACAACTATAGATCTGCCGCACAGAGAGGCGATAAGCTGACTTATTAAAAATATATTCAAAATTTGTAGCACCCAACAAAAACAAATGAATATAAAAAAATTTCCGATAAATTTTTGAAATAATGCAGATATGATTGTTTCAGTTTTTTCTGAAATGCGGTAATTCAATTCAAATCTCAACAACAAATAAGACTAATAAAAAGCAAATGCTGACAGAGCTTGTAAATATAGAGTATAAAATATATTTAGCGTTCAGAATATATTCATTTATATATATATACGATATACAAGTATTTATAGTGACGCAAATCTTCAAGCCAACTGGCTCACACAATTTTTCAAATGAACATTCAACTTTTCAATTTGCGGTTCGTTGCGTGGATAGTTTTACAACCAAAATCTCAATATTAAGACTGTGACTCAGCTTTGATTGCCTACTTGTAAATGCCTAATATCCCTATAACTATTATTACAAAATATATACATATGGAGGCTAAGCTGGCCTGGCCCTGCATCCGGGCCTTTCCTTCCCTATTCAAGTATTACAAAGCTATCTGCAGTCATTTACGACCATCTAGAGACATTAATGCAAATCCAGCAAAACCCAATCATAATCGTTTATAAATAACCGTCCTATGCAAATTGCAACAAGTCGTGAACAACAATGAAAAAGTGGTAGAGTCAACAAAAAACTTGCAATTTTTTAAGTATTCGGAATGGTGTTGCAATGCTCGGATCCGAGACAAGTGAGCAAGCGAGTCAGCAGCCAAATGGGTACTGCCAGCTATCAAGGTCACGTGCGCCGGCCATAATGTATACTTTAAAGCTTTGAGCATAAAATATTTAAAATCAATAAGACAACAAACTTATTTTCATTAAACGCACGACTATGCAAGTTTTTATGCAAATACGTACAACAAGAAGCCTTAATATTATCTTAATCGAGCACATTACGGCCGGTAAATCAAGTAGAATTGTTGGCTAATAGCTTCTAAAGCTTTTATTCAGAGGTACATACCTCGCTCCTACCGTTGCTTTTCGCGACTCTCCTCTTTCTGTCGAGGTCGATGGCAGTCGATTGTTGACTTCACTTTAGTTGCTGCTAAATAAATTTCTTTTGCTTCAGTTAAGTATTACGGCAATTAAGTCAGTTGAGTTAATAAAAAGCAATTGATTTCAAATATTTGGCGCGTTTATTATTTAATTTTTTGCAGACGCAGTTGTTTTTGTTTTTATATTTGTCTCACTTTTCACAGTACGCGCTCTCTTCGCTCTCTTTGAGCACTCGTTTACGTATTTATTTAAATTTTTCCTTTTTATCCGCACCAGCGTGTCAATCGAGCGCGTTTTCGTTTAAGACTAGCAGTTTTGTTTATATCAACAGTGCTTTATAAAGTTCCAACAAGTAAACCAAGTGAGAGAGCGAAGAGAGCCCACAACTGATCGAACGCACTTCTGCCTTACTCTCTTAAGCTGTTTCTCTTAGGAGCCGCCAGCAATCTGCGTCTGATAGATGCAAATTCATCCACGGCAACGCAAAGTACAAAGTTCAATGGCTCTCGACGTCACTAGCACTCAATTAGACTGCCAGTCATCACTTGGCTCAAAGTTCTCCCAATATACAATGTAAATGGATCTTAAAATCAGAAAATGTTTCCCACTACTCTGCACTGATGCATGTTTGCCAGATGTGCATCTATGTATATACATACATATGTATGGAGTTCTGTTGGCAGACGCCCACAAAGAAGTTCCTTGTATGGGAATGAGTCATGTTTCTTTACCAGATTTGGAAGATGCGAAATGCCTTTTTCAAACGCCGCTCTACTTGCGATTCGCATCTACGAGTTTCTCATCGGCACACCCCCAACAACCATTCCCCGTGAATATATCATACTTATGTATGTACATATGTACAAGGCCAGAATATCTTGTCACGTTTTACATGAATTGAAATTAACAATCTGGCATTTCCAAACGCGTCGAAAGTATGACTTGAAAACTGCAACAAAACTAAAAAAAAAATGTATTTTGATGAATGGACTTCATTGTTTTATTAATACTTGATTGTGTGCGGGAGAACACAAGACTTTCCCAGTATATTTCAATAAAACTTTGAACTTTTTTATTTATATATTTCATCGACAAACAATGCAATCGATGTAAAAGAAAAAGGAAAAAAAAATATATATACATGTATATCCAAAAATCAATACAAAAGAGAACTTAAATTAAATAAAACTAACGAAGTAAAAAATCCTATAAAAATGACAAAAATATCGAATAACGAATCCGACGGTGGGGGAATTTTATTTGCCAAACGGCCAGCTATCTTATCCGATTTCTAAATTGAATAGGTAAATCCCTAATGTGGGCGGCCAAAAGGTCATATTTGAAGACATATATAATATATTTATATACATTTATGTACATTCATTTTAATATAAGGTTAATAATTGGTTGTATTTCGTTAATATTTTGAAACTAACAACTCCTATCTTGTGTTGAAACTAAGCGCAAACTAAAGAAAAAGTTATAGATATTGGTGAATTTCAGTTTATGAAGACATACAAAAAAATAGTTTATTGCAGCTTTAAAATATAGTCTTTTAAAACACCTCTTTTTTTCCTTTTTTCTGCTTGCTATAAGTGGCTGTTTTTCTCAAAGCTAAAATCTTAAAGACATTCTTATACGCCCCTAAATACTGTTGTAAAGAAATTACTATTTTTATATGTAATTTAAAAACTTATGTATAAATAAGTATGTAAAATATTAAAGCGTATTAAATTAATAACTATTGACATTCATAATACAAGCAGAGCGACTATTAATTAATACCATTTTTTAAAATGTACATCTGATGTGTGTAAGACCAGCACCAGCCCTTGCACACCAACAACAAAATGTCTCACTCGCATTCAAACAAAATCCTACACTATGGCAACGCCGCGCCTTTCTAATAATAACACCGAGCCAGCAAACTGCTGAGTATTAGTGTAAGAGAAGCAGAGCTATAGATCGATGTGCTGGCCGTGTGCGTTGAGCGTCAGGGTTTGCGTACGTTCCGCGACTGCATTTTTCATTAGCGTCGTGGGTTCGAGCACCACAGGGGACTTGGAGGTTATTTCCGGAGTAAAATCTTTTTAAAGCGCATTGGTGCGATTTATCATGGCATAATGGTTCGACTGCTACATAGGCGAATCGTTTCCGACTGAATCGTAGAATATACACCACTCGTAAAAGAGGAGGGGTCTGTTGCGCGTGTCTGCTGAAATTTCCAAATAAATTACAGTGTTTCGTGTAATTGTTGCCGTACAATTTCATTTCTTTTTCTGACAATATTGAAATGGAATACAAATTCTACAAATTTAAATATTTTAATCAAATTATGTTCTCTATTTTAACAGCAACAACAAATTTCGTCGGAAAGTTCACACAAAGTGTGCGTCGCATTGTGCAGGATGTTAAGGATGAGGGGGCGCCCAGCGGCATGACCCGTGACGAGGTCATCGAGACAAACGAACGCCTCCGGTCGCTGCGTCTTCGCCTCGAAGAGTCCTACGATACAGCAAAAAACGCGCTTATCGCGCTCATGAACAAGTATGGCGATTCGAAGAGCCAACGCAACATCTTTCAGCGCTATCCCATGCTCAAGCTAATGATAAAGGTGAGCAATTTTGCTCCTAATAATATTATAGTATCTGTATAAGTTTAATCTATAAATTATTTATTTAAATTTTGTACATTATCGTTCTCTGAAATGGATTACTATGCTGAACACAGGATGTCATAAGATTGGAGACACAGTACTGGACGCTTGTTGACATACCCCGCCAGGAGAAGCAGGAGACGGTGCCCTCGTATGTGATGCGTGCCTGCTCCATCATGGAGAAGACCCAAAAGTCCGGCGAGGGTGTGAAAACGTCGGCGAAACTGGCCGATGAGGCAGCCGAGCGTAGGGAGCGCATGGAGCGACTGGAACGTGAGTGCTTGGGATCAGAATTAAACAGAAACTAACACTATACTCGTATTGTTAACACAGATATGACAACCGCACAAATCGAGCACGAGAACACCCAACTGATTAATGATTTGTATCGTCTGCTAAAGAAGTATCTGGGACTGCGCCATTTGATACGCGTCCTGAAGGTGAGTCAAGAGCAGAACAATGCATTGAATTGGCTGTCCCAGTCGCCATTTTGACATTTCAACTTTATTGCATATCGCCACGCAACAGGAAGAGTATGTCAGTTCAAAGATGTATCCTATTTTTCCACGCTACACAATGCTGAAGGACATGATAAAGGGCATCATGCACGACCCCGACTACATGGAGGTGTGCCATGAAACGCTGGCCAACTCCAACTGAGCCGAGGGCACCGGAAATGGCAGGCGTCGCATGAGTGTCATTTGAGAGTGCCACACACTACCACACGGACAATGCTTCGCAGCAACACTGCTGCCGGCAGTTGCGTGTGTGTGAGTGTATGCTGGTTTTGCATGCAAGTTTCTGCCATTCCGCATATTTTTAGCAATTTCCAACGATTTTCATTCGTGGACCGCCCGGGGAAGCCCTGCGGAGCGCCACGAACCTTCCACCATAGTTAGATAGAAATCTGTAGCTAATTCTAGCCAACTGTACGGCAATTGAACTAACTAAGTAACCAACCAACTAACTAGCTAACTAACAGCCCCACCACAGCAGTACTATACAAATCGCAGGCAACACTAACAAAAGCAGACGACACCACATAAACTATTAACTGCAACAACAACTTGAAACCATGTTTATACCTAACAATAAGAAAACGTAAACGGACAAACAAAAGAAACGCATTTATTTTAATGAACTTTTGAAATGGGAATATTTAACAACAACTTAACAGACAATTGAATAGCGACTAACACAAAATACAAACAAAAACAAAAACCAAATTGAATTGAATACAAAAATCAATAGATATTGTATAACTATATGAACTGGATACTAAGAAATTGTTAAATAATCAAAAACACAAAAACGTGTATCTAAGGTATTAAATGAAACTATTGATTTTAAGATTTAATTAAACCGTGTTAAAGTAATAAAGAACTTCTGAAGAGACCCAATTTTCCAAAAGTTCAAAATCCATCCTACATTATCTCTTGCTATTGCAGCTAAATAAAACTCTCAAATCTGCTTAAGACATATACAATTTCAAGAAATTGTGAACCTTTTCTATGTAAAGGAATGATAAACAGCTCCCTTCAAAGAGATGGAACTTTTGAGGCGAGAAAGGAAATATGAGATGTAGATGGCCATCATGATTTTAGGGACATGAGAACTTTCGAAACTGAAGATATAGGGAAACAAGGCTATCAATTTGATGGACTTGGCGAATAAGTGTAGTCACTATTATACTTAACTCGTTTGAAAAAAAGTAGAGAAAAGATTAAATTTGCAGTTACAAAGTGCTAACAGATAGATAGTTCTTGGAGAAGCCCGTTGGTTGGGAAAGACTGAAAAGTTAAGTCAGCTTTAACAAGTCTTGGGAAAATGTTCAACACCTCCTTTGCCTCTTCAGAAGTTCTTTAATTATTCTCATTTGTTCAATTTGTTACAATTTGTTGTATTGAAATATTACGAGATGCATTCTTTGCTTGTTAAATAAATATATATTGTGTGACTGATCGCAGGTGTGTGAGTGTGAATGTGTAGAAGCATTTGATTATTTATAATGCACCAGCTAATCAACTCCTTGAACCACCTTCGTTACTAGTCCCATACTTTCCTGGCTGGTGCATAATAGCTGCTAATAATAAAGGCCAACATACATACATAATGTGGATTTATATCTAATATATAGTGCATATAAGCAAATGTATTACTCATCTAGTTAGACAATATCAGGGAAATATTCCCAAATGAATTAAACAAAATGGCAAAAACACTTTCTTAAGAAAACACCAAATATTTCTTTCGTCTACGCTAGAGAACTCTAGTCCTAACTAAAAATAACTATCCTAAGATCATGAACTATTTCTATCTTCTTCATCGGCATGTTAAACTATTTATTGGCAGCTAGAATATCAATCTGGTCTGTCAATATCTTTCAGTTTTCTGATATAATTATGGAGCAATTTTCGAGAATGAGCAATCGGGCGGATTAAATCCCTATTATGTACCTACCCGTATATACTAGTTGTATTGTTTGTAAACCAATGCTTTAAATGTGTTAAATATTTGTATACTCCCACTCATCTCAAAAGCTTTAAGTCCATTTGTAATACGAGTATATATGTATAATCCGCAGTTAATCAAAAACTAACTCCCACTTGTCGTTGCTCCTCTAATAAGTACACTTAGTTAAGTAAATTAAACATACCTGCACAGAAGGATGTCCCCTTATAGATATTTGTGTGCATGCAAATCACTTTTATACAAGACCAAAGATAAACTATACGAGCTTAGAACTTTTTACGAGTACATGCAACAAAACACTCCACAGCTCCCCAACTCTCGAGTTAAGCCCAAGAATCCCAAAATATCCTAACAAATTTAGGGAAATGAAACACACTACACAATTTTGATTTATCGTACCAAATGCTTGCTCAACATGCAGTCTTAAACGCAAAGCAAAGTATTATGTGCGAGCGAATAAATAAATAGTAATGTATGTATGTACTATAAGCATTCAATGTACCATGAAATTGATGGCCGCTGAAATGGAACTACCACGAACAACTACACTCTTATTGAATACAAAACTGTTCACTACAACAACAACAACTACTACTTAGACACGCCCACCGAGTATACGAGAACGTATACCGAACTACACCGAATAATCTAAAAAAGTACTTAATCAAAAAACAAAAAACAGAAGCAAACCGAATGTAATACAAAATCAAGCGAACGAACAACTACCACATATCAAGCCCTCAACAGCAACATATTGTGCATGCAGTCTCAGCTGACCTGCGAGGGGAGGTTATTAAGTTTTATAAACAACAGTACAATGGAGAACACAAAAAGCTATGAGCATACATAATTCATAATTTTTTAACAAACTGGATTCATTCCAAGTACACTTCCTGGACCAATGCTGCAGGTCGCTTAGACTGAGATCAGAATCATATAGAAGTACGTATCAAAATCATATAGATAGTACTTAGCTCATGCTAGAAAGTAGAACGGATACGGCACCCTGTAATTCGGGAAAAAGTAAGTGGAAGTCAAAAATCAGTTCAATGAACTGGGGCCTCCCTATTGAATTGAATGATTTAGGTCCGTTCATAGTAGCTTTTATACCCTAAATAAATCTTACTACTATATTTGCCAAACTTCTCTGTACATGATTTTACATATCTATTTTTTATTTATTTCTTAACTTTACATTTAACATTTAAGAAAACAGCACTGACGATACCAACATAACAAGATTTTCAATCAAAACTTCTTTGCGAAATCAATTCGAAGGGACATTTCTTCAAAAGAAACGACCAAGCTTCACTTCTTTTATTACACCTCATATAATTTTCAAAACTTGACTTTAGATCAGTTCAATGAATATTTGGGCGTGCATATCAGTTTTAGACAATTTTGTGCCATTAACAGAGATTACATTTTCAAAAATTTCGGTTTAGGTTTCGGTTAAATCAACTGGCACTTGGTCCGTATGAAATCCCAAGATTTTATTCATAAACTATATTATTAATATAGTCGTAGTGTTTTATAAATTGCTTAGCATTTAAGAGTTTTCAAAAGAACAGCTTGGGCTGTCTTCATTCGAATATAAGCAAATGCTTTGCATTTATTAAAAACTAGTTATTGTTATTAAAAGACAGCTTAGCTTTCAATTTTTGAATTCCCATACCTTTGGAAAATTCAAGCCATTCAACAGCGATATTTGCGCAATTGCTGATTAGTGGCAGCTGAACGGCATTGGTTAATGGATATAAAATCAATGAACATTTGCAAAACCGCACTTGGCTGCGCAATGGGCTCAATATTTAGAAAACAATGCAATAAACTCTTCAATTCATGGTATTTATTAGCCTTCTCTCGTACATATAGAAAATGTTTGCTGACACAAAACTCGCAATACTGCATAACATTCATTGGGGGTGGCAATGAATCGAACCCAACTACTACAAAAGTACTATACATATGCCTATGAAAACGACAAACATCATTTATTTCAAAAGCTTTAATGTGTAAATCTATGTATGGTATGTGATGCTGACACTCATAAATAATTAGTGTTTGATAAATTAAAAATAAATAGCTGGCAAAGTTCTGGACATACGCAAGTATGTACGAGTATATCGTAAATTATAGATAAATGTGTAAAGCGCGGTATAAATGTAAATCGGTTTAAAGAGTAAATCGGCTTAACGCGAATCTATTCCATTTTGTTGTTGTGTGTCGTAGCTAAATATTGAGGATTAAGCAAATTGTATTTTAAAAGGGCGAGCGTGTTAATCAGGCGCCTAATTACTATGAGTAATTACTTATGACAAACAAACATACAAATATACAGACATATGTTATCGGAAAGCAGTATAATTCAGGTACTTACGAACAAATAATCGCAATATATACTCATTATAATGCCTATATATGTATGCGTGTGTGTGTTTTTGTGTGTGGATGTGCGTTTGTATCAAGAACAAGAAAGTTTTAGAGTTAAATGCAAATATTGCAATACATAGTACATGCTGGAAATGCAAGGGTAAACATATTCGTATTGAATATAACTACCAGGTATACATACATATTTACATACAATACGATATACATAAAGCGTTAAAACTATTATATACAATACATACCAGTTACACACATACATACATACTTACATACAAGGACTTACCACGCCTACCAACCCACATACAAGCAAACAAACAAACAAACAAACAAAACAACAAAACAACAAACTCGTACAATTTTACCTTTTCAATATCTAAGTGTCTACCAGAAATGGAAAAGCATAAAGAAAATAACAAAATAAATAAATACAAATACAACTAAATACATTATATACCTACTATATTGTGTGTACAATTATGCAACTACTTACACATGACTAAGTGAAAAATCATTAAATATATTGCTATTAAATGGAAAATTAAGGTGTTTTATTTAAGCGTTGTGGTGCGGAAACGAGGCCAACGACGGGCATTAAGGTCGAAAGAAGAGTCGATTGTTAAACAGAAGTGTTTAAATAAATGAATTTCTGAAAAACAATGTTTCTTATACAACGAGAGTAAGAAGATATTCTCGATTTCAACAACGATTTGACTTGGCCATCCCCTTTGAAAAAACTGATAATAAAGCCTCCATTTACGAACCAAGAAAATCCTTTGGCTACCAATTTCCGTTTCCGGTTCCCACTACTAATACAAGAAACTTTTTAACCGATTGACCGATTATAGATAAAACATGTATAACGCAAAGCGGAAAGGGCATTGGGGTCCAAGAATACATCTGAAAAATCGACATTATAGTTATAATAATTATCAACCATAAATTATTTAATTATCATCACAATTGAATTTCATCAACAGGACCAAAAAATGTAAATAAGCTCACCCGGTTCAAAACAGGGCCAATGCGCCATCTATACGTAACATCAAAAATGTCCTCAGAGAGCTTTTCATGAATAATTTCTATCTTTTTATATATTGACATATACATATAAGGAGCATATGTAGAAAAACTGGCAAGACGTAAGCAACTTGAAATCATTTACTTATAATTTATATAAATATAATATATATTCACAACAATCCAAATTTGTTCATCTAGAAGATAAAACATAAGAGCACATTTTTTTTGAATGCGCCCTCTATACGTTACACTTCGAAAATAACGCTAACGAACTGTTTTGTATAACAGTGCAATAATGGTGGTTTGTGCATTAGCTAGGAAAGCATGTGCACTAAGAACAGTTTATTTTGAAAAGTTAAACAACAACGACATAATTAATGAGCACATTGATGAAAATTGTGAAAACATATTTATTTCTTCGCATGGCTGCCATGTTTGTTACCTTCCGGCTGATCATCGGGCAGCGAGTCGACCGATAGAATCGATCCCTTCGACTTGGAACTGGACTTGGAGCTGCTGGCAGAGCTCTTGGGGTACTTAACCGCCTTGGTGTTGCCCGAACATTGCATTATGAAGCGCAGCTCGTCAATGAGCTCGGCCTTGAAGTCGACCTGTGAGATGCACAAAGAATTTTAGAGACACCCAGCCACGGCCCAGAAGCCGTGTTAATCAAATCGAACGAGCAATCTGTCAAGCAAAAAAGACAAAAAAAAACATGCATGCAACATCAAGCTATGCAAACGAGTTGAGATGCATCCAACGGATATGCAGATGCTGTGTTATTGGGGACTGGCAGACTGGCACCATGCACGGATAGTGTGTGGGCCCCAATTGTCGATTTGCAAGAGGTATGTACATATAGTATATCACATCCATTATGCGGCTTTTGGGCATGGCCTTGCATGGCCCTTTTGTTTAGTGACGACACATACATAGGCGTATAGAACGAAGCAGCGTCCTGTTAATATTTTTAGTGCGTCTGGCGGCATTGTCGTCGACGTCGTTACCTTATTACTTCGCGCCACCGCATAGATGCTGAGCAAACAGTTAATCAGGCCATACACGCTGGCGAAACAGCTGCCCACAATGAGAACCAGGAACACTCCGCCCAAATTGGCGAAGCCCAGCGAGGAGGCATCCGAGTCCTTCTCTTCCTGTTGTTGCAGTGCGAGATTTGTATGTGAATGACGGAAATTGTGGTAAGCTAATGGCCAAGTGGCATTCTATGGTAATAGTGTTTACGGCTGCGATTCGCGTGCTCCAGAGTAGGTGTGTGGCTTATGAGCTATATCGGACTATGCTATTAAAGGGCCAAACCGAGAACCAAAGCAAGCAAAGCCCGAAGGCCGCCCCAACGCTACCTTGTTCTCGTTGCTGCGCTCCTTGACGCCCAGCACCATCTCGAGCACGGACACAAATACGCCAAAGAAGGCACCCACTCCGAGCACCAAGTACACGCCGCCCAGATTGCTAATCTCTAGGGCAAGGGCGCCACCCTCGACACTCGAGTCCTACGCACGGACAGGCACAGTGATAGAGCCCAGTCTGTAAGAGCATCAGACAACTTACCGAACAGGCGCCGCCGCCGCGTTTCTCCTTCCACCATTTGGTCTTCATTTTGGTCAGCACGCCCTGCTCCTGCAACTCCAGTATGGCCTGGCTGAGAGTGTCGCGATAGGGCCAGTCTAAAAGAAACACGAGCACAGCCCATAAGAGTGGCAGCAATACATCCTAGAGATACTCACGCTTCCGCATAGCGATGCCGTAGCCCTTCTCGTCCAGCAAGGCGCCCACCTGCGTCAATGTGCAGCGCCGCTCGGTAATGTACTCGATGGTCGTCGACTCCATGAGAAAGGCATAGTTGCTGGTCTCCACGCGATCCACGCCCTCCTGATTGGTGTTCGTCATGTACTCCGGATGGTCGCGCATGAACTCGTACATCTTCTGATACGTGGGATACTTGGCATCCTGCGCTTAGATTAATGCCATTAATGCCTAGGTCTTGAGCTTATCGTCAGCTTTACCTTGAAGAAGGTGAAGGTGCTGCCGCCGTTTTTGGCGCCATAGTTCACTCCTCCCTTGTTCTCAGCCAAATCTTCGGCATTCTCTATGGGAGTGGCCAGCGATTCGACCGTGAGGAAGGCGGCCAGATTGGCGGTGTAAGACGAGACCAATATCAGGGTGAAGAACCACCAGGATGCGGCTACGGCACGAGTCGAATAGGCTCTGCACATTGTAAGTCAGAGATGTTATATTAATTGCGTATTTAAAGTCTTTTCTAATGTTTAGGATTATTTTTACATATATCAATTATTCATGGAATTTGTTTTTTCACTTTTGTAGTATTTCCTAACCACAAGGTTGATTCATTTACATGGAAACTATATATTATTATTATAAACTTAATCCTTTCCAGTGGGGTGTTAAAAATACGCCCAGCTGCCTAAGCTATACATAGAAAATCGGACGATGGTTGCAAAATCTAAATACTAGTTTTATTATTACAATACGGAGAGTAATCAAGCTATTTTTGGACACATTTCGTGACATTTTCGACAACGATGATCACACTTTGTAGGTTTTTGATGTTTCAAATGGGTTCGGGTAAGAGACTTTTTCCGGACAGCACGGGTACACACATTGTATTGAATTGTTGGGAGATCTAACTTGAATAGAAAGGAAATGCTGCCTTACAGTTACTTACTTGGGTGCCAGCTCAGAGCCCTGTTGGAACAGCGCACCAATGGAGAACCAGAGGCAGTTGGCAAAACTGAACTGATTTTCCAGCTCCTCGGGCTCCTCGATGCAGGGATAGGGATTGTCCCACTCCGCCGGCGACAGACGACCCAAAATAAACATGCTGATGGACACACCCATGTACGCCAAGCCGAGCCAAAGCCAAACATCGCCGGAAAAGGGCGACATGAACGAAAACAGCTTGGGTGGCTCCTTCATGGGCTTGCGAAACAAAATGGCGATGCCTGCGAAATATGCAAATCGAATGACGTATTGCGTGACATTGTGAGGGAGCAGCTGGCTGGTGTGTGTGTGTGTGAGTGTGAGTGTGTTTGTGTGCGTATGCACATGTGTTCATTAGTGCGGCCAGTCGTTGCTAATGCATGCAACGACAAGCGGTGTCCGCTCCTCCTCCGGACCCCGGCACCGTCGTTTCCTCCCACTTGCTGCGCACTAATGAGCTTTGGTTTAAAATTAGCTGTCAAGGTTTCTGCCAGCCAGCCAGCCAGCCTGTGGCTAAGTGTGACTGTGTGTATGGATGTATGTGTGTGTGTGTGTGTGTCTACGTCAGGACTATTGGCCAGCACTTACCCAAGTTCATGAATGGTATGGTGAAGTCGACGCCGCTCTCGCGCTCCGATGTCATGGTCAGATCGGTAATGCCCATGTCAGCGCGCTAATTAAATATGGAAAGCAATTTGAATTGTGAACGCTCTCATGGCCAATGCGAAATGTAAATAGAAATGTATGCGTATTAATTTTGAATGCGCAAATATTGCGTATACGCACCGCCGCACGCCGCACGCCAAAAATCATTTCATTATCATAACTAATTTATGCAGCGCAGTGGTTGCATCCAAAATGAAAAGGGGTTTCAACAAAAGTCACAAACTACACTTAAAATCTATATACATAAATTCATATTCATGGTGAGATATTCATCTATCAGAATCTATTAAATAAATTCTTTCGACCTATGGGAATGGAAATGGATTTTGTAATGAGTGTAAAAAAAAGACAGATTCCTGAGTACGTTTATTGTTATCAAGAATTTCACCTCTTCGATGTTGTAGTCCATCTTTAATGCTGGCGTTTTCTAATATTGGCATGTCCTTGCATGCCAGGACTCTGGCGCTATTGCTGCCTGGCAAACGGCCTGTCAATTACGCGCGTGTTTTTCCATTTTCAGTGTCACTTGCCAGCCTTTTGTGCAAATTTAGCAAATTTATTATTAAAAACTCAGCGCATAAAAAGCAGTTGTTTGAAAGGGCGCCCAGTCTGCGCAAAAAACGCTTCATTAACTATGCTTAAGTGTTCAGCGTTTCTGTGTGCGTTTCCTAAATTTAAAATAAAAACAAAAGGACAGCGAACGAGGCCCTGACCATGGCATTGGCTCTGGCAGCAGACTGACTGACAGCTTAAGCATTCAATTATGAAGTGAATTAATTTGAAGCGTTCGAGGCGGCAAGGCCAGGTCGCACACGGCTCGCTCCTGTGCGCTGGCCAAAAGGACACACTCAATTTAAGTAGTTATCGAACAAGTTGTCACGTTGTGTTGTGTTGGCCTCATCCAAGACCATTACGTATAATGCAAGCCATTTATGTTAATGATGATGTTGATGATGTTAATGATTACGGCCATTGCCATTGACATTGCCATTCGATGTGGGAACATCGAAACCAATAACTGGCATGCCATGTCGCCTGCCTGCCTGCCTGCCTGCCTGCCTGCGTGCCACAAAGGATAATCTCATTGATATAAATGGCTGACGCTGCGTTCATAGAGATTTATGACCAGCCCAGCCACACGCAGCCACACTCACATTGTCAATAATTTCGCGTATCATGCCGTTCCACTCGCCCGTGGCTGGATTAATGCCGCCATACTTGTTGTCCTCCTGCAGGCGGAAGGAGTAGCTGAAGCCCAACTTCTTGGACAGCTCGTCGATGAGTTCAATGCCAAAACCCTCGAACTGATCGTTGCCCTCCAGCTTCTGCGAGGTTTCCTTCAGCATCCCGTACGGCTCGCTCTTAGAGTGCGTCGACCAGATTCGGTAAAATAAGTTATGGCTCAATATATAGGATTATGAAATGCAATTAATGGCTACTCACAATGGCCGTGATGACCACAAAGCTCTTGTTCACGAGTGAACGCATGTCCGGCTCCATGGAAATGGCCGGCGCAGGGCGATTCATTTGAAAGCCGTCCTTGCCGCTCCATTCGCCAATTTTCTGCATGCCCGAGACGGTCAGCTCGATGACCTCCAAAGTGAAATCAGTGCGCAGCCCCTCGTAGTCGAACTGAATGGTGCCCGTGAGCCCATTGAGTGTGAGCTGTTGTGGTTATTTCATATTTCATGAGTTGGCCAGCACACTCACACTCACAACACACGCCGCACACACGGCACCACACACCACATTACTCACCGATTTCATGTAGTTGACGAGCGTGAAGCCCTTGTCCCAGGCACTGTCGTCGCCACAACTTAGGGGCATGGGACGGAAATTCACATGCTTGTATGTCTCGGCCAGCAGCTGCACGCCGTCGTATATGAGGGCCATGCTGTTGGTCAGAGGACACGACACTGCAAATGTGGCCAGAGAAGAACGTTAAGAATCAGAGCGAGCGCGGGTTGGCGGGGAGGAATAGGGAAAAACACAGTCATAAATGTATGGCAGCCCCTTTGCCCTCAGCATTAGCATCAGCATCAGCTACAGCTACAGTTTTCCATGCGCTCCACGCCTTATTCATTCAAAACACATTCAAAATCAACAGAGCTGCCCGGATTTGGCCAAAAAAGTCGCTATACATTTGCATTTAAACGATCTGCTATAGAAGCGAACATGCCAGAAATAGTTTAAAAAGAACTCTCTTACAATCATTGCAACTACATATTAATTAGAATAGTATTGTTCTTCAAGAATCTAGATTATAGCCTGCCTTAAAACTCTAAAGACAGACGTAATATCATGCTTCTTCCAAAGATATGTGAATGAAATGTGCAATTTAAAAAATAAAAATGCTATCGGAATCGGGTTTTTCTAAACTTGTGTAAAATCGTCAAACTTCCTTTGAAATTTACAAAATAAATACAAGTGTAAAGAATGCAGCAAAAAACAATTCAAACATGGAATATACTTGTATTTATATTGTTTATCAAAAACTGTAATGCCGTTAAAATTTATTCAGTCAAGCCTTTAAAAAAACAACTCGAAATGCAGATCTTTATTGTTCATTTTAGAGTCTTTCATTGTAGGAGTATTTTTAGATAAATTTTAAGTGAAAATGCTTGAGAAGTGAGCTCCAATTCTCTGCTTTCTAAATCTTACGTTTATCAAATACTTATTGTGGATCAAATAGGAATGATGTGGACTCATTTCCAGTCAGTTTGAACATTTGAATAATTCAGTTTAAGGACCTCCAAAACTTTGCCTAAAGCTCAGTTCAATAAATACTCGTATAATACACACAACAATTCAAAATTACAACATTTTACTTGAAAAACAAAACTAAATTGTTGTTCATTAATACATTTAGTACTTAATATTCTATGAAAAGGGGAAGAGTCCTATTTAATGATGATGATTTTAAATTAAACCCGACCCGCGGCAAGGTTTCTTCAAATGCTTAATAATTGTCTGCATATTGTTTAATTTGTTTTCATTCCACTTTTAGCTTAAAATGAAAATGATCGAGTCATTTAGACGGCTCGAAGGATTATCTAAATGCCACTTAAATAAGCAATAAAGGGATTATCGCATTAAATTGAGGCAAAACCACCAGACTGGCACCACTGACTCGCACTCGCACATCCACAAAAGAGTAGCCGTGCCGGAGAAAGGATAATGTTACACAAAAGGCCAGGCCACAGTGTCATTTATCATTTTTGTGTGAGTGTGTGCGTGTGCGTGTGTGTTTGGGTGACATGAAATGCAATTCAATTATTTAAATTTGCTCGGGCGAATAGATTTTGGATTTGCATAAATTGCTGTCACAAAGCATCTAATTTATGGGAGCCCGCTCAGGTGTGCGAGTCCTGTGCCTTACCGTTCTGAAATGGCTCGTCACTCTCGTACAAGGCCTTGGCCACCTCCAGCACCTGCTCATTGGCGGGCGAGACCAATCGAAAGCCCGTGATGTTGGTGTCGCCGTGCTGATACGCCTCCAAGTCCAAGGTCTGCCAGTCCAGATTGCCAATGATATAGCGATAGTCGCTCGTCAGCAATCCCACCTGCTGGGCCTGCTTGAAGAACTCGGGCAGCGTCTCCAGCGACCCGACCACCACAAACGAGTAATCGGCCGAGTTACGTATGCGGCGCAGCACGTTGCGATAGTTTCCATTCAAGTCCAGCTCGTAGCGGCGCACAGTGATGGCCGGCCCGGCAGTGCCGTACATCTGAAGCAGCTCGTTGACCGTCGCCAGATATTCGCCTCAAAGAATCTCGGCTGTAAGTTATACTGATGGGTGCGTCTGCGTTCACAGACATGACTCACCTGACTCGTAGATTATGGTGAAGCCCTCCCAGCCCAGCTCCGTCACTATATCCTTCAAGGCCGCTCCCAGCTGGGTGGGATGTGGATGCAAATTGATGGTCGGCAGCTGGGCGCCAAAGTCCCAGCGGGTGTCCAGGAAAGGCAGCTCCTTGGCATCGCAAATGCTCATCGCGTGCTTGGCCGCCATATTCGTTGTGGGCCCGAATACGGCCACCAGATTTTGCTGTGGAAAGTGCCACAATCTCAGTTGCTTGGCAAAAATTCCAAAATTGATTTCAGCTTTCGTGCTCACCCGCAGTATCTTGCACAGCTTCTTGGATGTCTCGAAAGAGTTTCCCGGCTCAATGCTGGCTGCCACGCCATGCAGGTTCAGCTCCTCATTCTCCTCATTCGCTTTGTTGATGGCCAAGGTGAAGATTTTCTCGAGATCTGGACTACTTGCCTCATATATCAGGCCTGTCAATCGCGCATCAAACACAAATAAAATTAAATAAAACAATTGTGTCAGCAATTTGTTTGGATTCCACAATGATATGTGCAATTAAAATGTATCGCAGTGTTAAACACATAATTGACACATTGATTTCGTTTTCAATTCGGATGCAATTACAATTTTATTTATTTGCAACAGCTCTGTGATTTATGATGAGAACCCAACCCAACCCAACTTATATTTGATAGGCCTTCATAATTATAGAGATTGAGTTTGCAACAATATTCAAATTGAGAGGAAACGAGCCGATTTAGTCTGTCTGTAGGACACTAAAATTTCCACCCTCCTCGGCCAGCCGACTTTAGCTTCTTTAATTGTTGTTTGTACGTATTTGAATCGTGGATCGCATACTTATTGGAAAAAATATTGTTTTCGTTGACAAAGAAACGCAAATCGCAAAAAAGGGTTGATTAAAGATTTATTATATCCTGTGCCTGAAGTTAAGAAGGGTATATACGGTTGGTGCAAAGTACATAAAAAATATAATTAATTAGCAAATAAATCTAGATATGCACCTTCGTCTCTCCGTCTGGACAATACGCTCATTAGAAATGCACAGCTACGCCTGACAATGATTAGTTACTACGATGGAAAGTCAATAAAATATGTATGTCTGTATAAAATAAATATGTGATTCACAAAAAAAATATATTAAATATATTATTCCTAGTTTCTGTCTCACATCAGTTCTGCTGAGCTACCAATGTTTTTTTACTTCTAAGCCCAGCCTTGATTCATCAGAACGCAACAATAAAGTGTCACGCAGATCAAGGGATTATATATAGTACTTTGCATCTCCCTCTCCCTAGTTTTTCACTCTTTACAAACCTAATATACTCTTGTACCTTTTGGGTATAAAGTATAATAAAAGCTGAACTGCTGGATCCCCAGACAGATAAACATTTCGCGACTGAGAAACCAGTCTGTTTTCTGTCATTGTTCCCATCTGGGCTGTCAGCTTGGCATTTATTAATTTATTTATTTAGGGCAGTACTGTGTTAATTTTCGATAGGTAGATGAAGTTTTGAAAAGGTTCCATCCTTAGTCTGTTCTGTTAAAAAAAGAAACAAACTGTAATATCCATGATGTCGGTGCGAGGCTCCAGCGTGGGGGACCTGTCCCAGATAGACCAGATAATCCTACGAATTATCGATACGCGTCGTTCGAAAATTCTGAACCTTGGTGAATCGGATATTCGAGCGGTATGCTTTCGGTCTCGAGAGATTTTCCTCTCACAACCAATGTTGCTGCAACTCGCCACGCCCGTAAAGATTTGCGGGGACATACATGGCCAGTTCACGGACTTATTGCGTCTCTTCGACTATGGCGGTTATCCCCCTGCGTCGAATTACTTATTTTTGGGCGACTACGTGGACCGTGGCAAGCAATCCATTGAAACCATTTGTCTGTTGTTGGCTTACAAAATCAAGTACCCGGACAACTTTTTCCTACTGCGCGGCAATCATGAGTCCGCAAGCATCAATCGAATCTACGGATTCTACGACGAGTGCAAGAGAAGGTATTCCATCAAGCTGTGGCGCACCTTCGTCGACTGCTACAACTGCATGCCGGTGGCAGCGATTGTGGACGACAGGATCTTCTGCTGCCACGGCGGCCTTAGTCCCGACCTCCACAACATGACGCAGATCTTGAATTTGCCTCGGCCCTGCGATGTGCCCGACAGGGGATTGCTCTGTGACCTTCTCTGGTCTGATCCCGATTCCAAAATCATGGGATGGAGTGACAACGATCGCGGCGTGAGTGTCACCTTTGGTCCCGATATTGTTGAAAAATTCGTGCACCGCCATCGTTTGGATTTGATTTGTCGCGCCCACCAAGTTGTGGAGGATGGCTACGAGTTTTTTGCCAAGCGCCAGCTTATAACCGTTTTCTCAGCCCCCAATTACTGCGGCGAGTTCGACAATGCGGGCGCCATGATGTCCGTGGATGAGACTCTAATGTGTTCCTTCTTTGTGCTCAAACCGTCAAAGAAAATGGGCCTTCGAAGGGTCAACTCCAAGGTGTGAGCAAAGCTTGTTCTATTCTGCAGTCATACGATAATAAGTAGCAATAAAAGCGCATCTAATAGAGTCGAAGTTTCTCTTTAATGTTAATTTTTCAGAAAATTAATAAGTTTTTCGTAAAAATCTCTAGTAATTAGTTATCAGAACCAGCGATAGTTTTGGATACACCTTTTGTAAGTCTGTAAGCTCACGAGAGGCTGTTTGTTTTCTGTCATAGTGTTAATCGAAAATCGGAAAAAATAAACAAATTTTTGTACGGATATTATTTTGAAAAATACGCCTTAAATGTCGGTTCGAGGCTCCAGCGTGGGTGACCTTGCCCAACTGGATCAAATGATCTTACGAATCCTCGCAGTGCCTAGTTCGCAAACCCTTAGACTATCGGAGTCCGATATACGAGCAATATGCTTGAAGGCACAGGAGATTTTTCTGAACCAACCAATGCTCCTGCAGCTCGAAACTCCAGTAAAAATTTGTGGTGACATACATGGCCAGTTCACGGACCTGCTGCGTCTCTTCAACCACGGCGGCTATCCGCCTGTTTCGAATTACTTATTTTTGGGCGACTACGTTGACCGTGGCAAGCAGTCCATCGAAACGATGTGCCTGCTGCTGGCTTACAAAATCAAGTTTCAGGACAACCTATTCTTGCTGCGTGGAAATCATGAGGCAGCGAGCATCAATCGAATCTACGGATTCTACGACGAGTGCAAGAGAAGGTATTCCATCAAGCTGTGGCGCACCTTCGTCGACTGCTACAACTGCATGCCCGTGGCAGCGATAGTGGGCGACAGGATCTTCTGCTGCCACGGCGGGCTTAGTCCCGACCTCCACAACATGACGCAGATCTTGAATTTGCCTCGGCCCTGCGATGTGCCCGACAAGGGGCTGCTGTGCGATCTTCTTTGGTCTGATCCCGATTCCAAAATCATGGGATGGAGTGACAACGATCGCGGCGTGAGTGTCACCTTTGGTGCAGATGTTGTTGGAAAATTCGTGCACCGTCACAAATTCGATTTGATTTGTCGCGCCCATCAAGTTGTGGAGGATGGCTACGAGTTTTTTGCCAAGCGCCAGCTAATCACCATTTTCTCGGCCCCCAATTATTGCGGAGAATTCGACAATGCGGGCGCCATGATGACCGTAGATGAGGCACTGATGTGCTCCTTTTTTGTGCTGAAGCCATCGAAGAGACCCGGACTGCGCAAAGTGAAACCAAAATCCTGAATAAAGCTCTTTTTCAATTTCAAGTTCATTACAAGCCGAATTTATTTGTGATGAACTTCTCCTTATTGCAAGTGCACTGAGCGAAACGATCGCCAATAGATACTCGTATTTGTATCTGCCTATAATGACCATGGTATGGTCATTTTACGAATTTTAAATATGTTTACATAATTAGTATTAGCTAGCAATTAAGAATTTGGTTGAAGTCCAGATCTGAGTAGCATAAATAAACTGCTTGCATGGAATTAACATGCATGCGAAATGTAAGAATGCGCTGTCTGCGTACAGCGACTGTAATCTTCTCTAATTACACTCTCTTGCGCTCTGTTAAATATTAGCCATACGCGGTAGAGAGCTAGCATTGGCATTCGTCGCATTGGCATTCGTCGCATTGCCATTTGTTTATTTGTGCATGTGCATAGGAACTTTGGCAGCCCTATCAGCTGTTTCTCCGATCTCGCTGTAATTATTCAGCAATGCGCTCGCGAGGCAGTCGGTTGCTGTTAAGTGAATGACGAGGCGTGCCTTTCAAGTTTTGCCTTTGTATTAATTGGATTTACCGTTATATTCGACTACCACGATTATTGGCTTGCTTTTGCTACACCGGCAAATTACCGTACAAACATCGTTTAATGAATCCGCGTAAACTTTCAGCTTTGTGGATAAATTAAAAGAGAAAACTACATCAAATGATTCACACACCACCCTGCGTGTGTGTTTAATCTATGTATGTATGTACATATATAGTGTTTGTTTACTCGTACGTTATTTTGACAGCGACATCACTTTTCCGCTGGAAATATTGGAAAAAGCTAGAGGTCAGTATCGTACATGTTTAAGATGTTGGAAAGAAATTAAGTAGTCGGCACTTAATAGACTTTGTTGTAGTAGAAATTACCGACACGCTCAGTAGACAGACCCTTCGCAACTGAGTTGAATGCAAAGCTTCAGTTCTAAAATGATTTATTTTCGGTTCAGTGGCCCCGTAAAATTGTCGGTGTTTAAATAAATAGAACACATTCAAATAAAAACACATTTTCAATGCTGCACCCGTTCTGTTGTGCTCGGAAAATTCTGTTTATGTTTACAAGATGTGTGCGCCCAGGCAGATAGTTTAATCCGCAAAATATTGAGGCCAAGAAAAACACGAGCAAAACAAATTCGCCATGAATAAGAGAGAAAATAACTGCAAATTCTAGCGTGCGATGCGAACAATTTTTCAAATTGCATTTCGCTCAACTAGACCTGCATTCAGATACGAGTGGCACACATTCAAAGGAACACACTGTACACTTATCCACACATTTGTTTACATACATATGCATGTACTACTCGTATATGCTGGCATCTACTTGCAACATACCGCACGTTCAACAAATTTGCTGAGTGCACCCGTCCATGCAACTTCTTTACGTAACAGCTCTGACCATTAAAAAAAAACTTGTGCGGCATAGAAATGTTTTCCATCAGGCAGGCACTTGACGTCGACTCACCCACATTTGTTCGTTCACCCAAACTTCTGCCTATTCCATTGGCAAAGACCCACAGAGAAATCAGCGAGACGGTCCCGAGGCTCCACATGCCTGGCAGCTGGCGTTGCCGATGTTGCATTGCCATTGTTATTTTATAGCCGCTCGTCATCATTGTTGTCGGTTTTGCCATTGAAAAGTTTTTGCAAAACCCATTAAATGCAATCGCTTGTGCATACGAATGTGAATGCAAATAGAAATTATTGCTATTTGATTGCACTATTTTAGACCGTCTTTATTTTAGCATTTTACGACTACGACTATAGCTGCCGTTCTAATTTTATACTTTCGCGTTGATCTTTCTTTTGCGGCACTACCGAGACTGGTTGACAATTCGCTGAATTGGCTATGCTCGCTGGGGCAACAGCAGCTAGTCGGATCAGCTGTAGAATTCGCCGTAAAGATTACAATTTCGCATCATCTCTCTGCACAGATACAACTAATATTGGGAAGATTTTATTCTGCATTAATTAGAAACTATTTCGAATCAATGAGACTAGCTGTAGAATTCGCCGTAAAGATGAAAATTTAGCATCATCTCTCTGCACAGATACAACTAATATTGGGAAGATTATATTCTGAATTAATGAGAAACTATATAATGAATGAGCTTTGAGTCAAGATGTGATTGAAATCTGTCTCGGAATTCTCCTAAAAAAAAAGAATCCATACAAAATCAAGACACAATGTGTTGGTGGCCAAGAACCGTCATCATAACTCAGCAATACCATATTTTACAATACTAGCAAACTAAACGTCCTGTTACCCTTCTGTTGCAAGGTATTAGACCCCACTACTTTAATCTAATCCAGCTTATGCAGCTTTAACGAAACGGTTATCGTAGTTGGATAGTTGTTTCATTGCCATTTAAAATGAGGAAACATATAGAATAGTTGTTTAATAGAACGAAGAACAAAGGCATTAATAGTCCTGTACACTTTAATCTTTATCAGATTGAAAGAAAAGATCTTGAAGCGCAGTTACAAGTAGAAAATTTGCTAATTTGTAAATGAATCAAGGTATTTAAGTAAATTTAAAAAAAAATTTAAGAGATGCTTGTTTTTTTTCATTTTAAAAAGACTTAAGCGTGTAAGAACATGACTCTTAGTGGCTTAACTTGAAATGCAGGCTCAGCATGCTTTGTTTCTCTTTTTCCCGACGCGTTGATCCCTAAACACTTAGTAACTTTAAATCGGATTAATTAGAGCTGCTTTTTAGCGCCAATTGAACGCTGCAGGCAACAATCCCAATCACAACCAAAATCAGCAAAAACTTCAAAACAAATCCGCCAACTGCTGCCACAAACAGAAACGTGCACAGCATGAAATTACCAGCTAATTGCACACCTCATGTGCACACCAAGGACTTCAAGGTGGCAAGGAAGACACGAAAAGTAAATAAATAAATAAATGAGTGGGGGAGAGAAAACGCAACAGTCTAGAAGACGAGCGAAGCGCTGCTTGATGAGGTTTGCCGGGGAAAGGGAGGGTTTTTCAGAAACAACTTTTGCAAAATTAGTTGCGGCAACAATCATGTGGATGCTAGAGGTCCTGCTTATGCTGTCATTTCAGATAAATAGCAGAAGAAAAATAGCAACTTAGAATGAAGGTGAAAGTAGAACGATGGATGCTGACACATAGCAGTGTCTAAGCCACAATGGCTACAAACAATCTGGTCTTGCACTTCTTTCACAGCCATTGCAATACACATACCTACTATGTACACACGAGTATATACAGGACTGCCTTTTAAACGATATATATTTAAGCTATTTAAGCATAATAATCATCTGCTGTAAAAGACAAACAGATAGGTTTTCATTTAAAATCACGGAGCTTGTTTTTGTATAATTTATTCTGTAGTGTAAAACGTTAAATATTTCATGGGTTTTATTAGCTCTTAAATCCTTATAGTTTTTTTCTGGAGCTTCCACATTGTCAACACATTTGGTATATGTGTTTGTATGTGTGTTGCATGGGTGTGTGCTGCATCTGCATTTGAAGGCTGACGATTTATGGGCAGAAGCATGAACGCGCTCTTAGTGTTAGCTTTGAATAATCCATTTAGAGGGGGCGTAGCGCGAATATCTCTTATTTTAAATAACGATTGCAATTCTTTTAGCACAATGGCAAAACAGAAACATCACTATATAATGCAAACACCGTCCACAGTTTCGGGCATGTCCTTGCACACACACACACACACCCGCGTGCGCACATACAAATAGATACTTCACACAATAGCAATGCAGCCATCACTCTCGCAGGCAGCCAGCAGCAGTTTGTTGGCTGAGGGAGGACGGTTGAGGTAGTTGGGAGCCAGCCAGCGGCAAACTGTTGCTGTCAGCAGTAAATAAAATCAACGTCCACGTCCACCCAAAAATGTTGAAAGGAGACAGCAGCAGCTCCCAGCAGCTAACACATGCGTCTGTCGGACTGTCAGACAGCCTGACTGCCTCTCTATGTCAGAGTCCCTTGGAGAGCACATCTGCCCAGCGTACAGTGGTTCCAAACTCATTTCCAAATGCACAAGATTTCCCTAAAACGGCACAAAAGTTGTTTTTAATAAAAAATCATTCTTTGGTTTTTGTTTAAATTTAATATCTTAATGTAATGCGGTCATGTCATCTTAATGTGGGATTAAGTTGTTAAAATGTCTAAAAACTAATTAGAACATTTTACCCGAAGGGAGCAAATCCACACATGACTTGCTTTTTGTAGTACTATATATTTCAAAATCAAAGAGCGCTAAAGAATTTAATTCAAATGTAACCCCTTATATAAAATATAGCTTTGACATTTAATTTAAGGAGAACCTGCATACCAAGTTTGAAAAGTCCCGCCGTTCTTCTGCGAAGTTCTTAAGCTCCGATTCAAGATTGAAATGACTGCGAGACCGCCTCCTATTGAGGACGCTTTCCTTTTGGAGTTCTGAATTATAATAATTATTTAAATGATGTAATATTAAAATATTATATATAATTAAGATATATATTTGAGCGACAATTTAAGTAGCAATTTTTCTTGATAAAATTTGAAAAAGAAATTAAAACTATCTTGAGCTGCCATATTGGTAGTAGTTAGTAGTAGAATACTGGTCTGATTTTTCGTAAGCATGAAATGTTCCTTACCTTTATGTTGTTACAGAAATATTGATGATAAAAAGTTGATAAGGAACTTATTCGTTACGAAATACTTTTAGTAAATAATTCAAATAGACACAAATGCATTTATATTAATGTTGGTCTCCATTACTGGTTCTTCTGCAAGTGATTTAGGTTTGGAATAGGTTCAATAATCGGGAAAAGATACAAATCAACTAAATCGCTTAGTATTTGCTCGGATTACATTTAACGACCAAAGTAATAGTGTTTTAGAGAGTATTGAAGACAGTATTGATTTTTAGTGCCCAACATGAAGTCGAAGAGCAGAGATTTGGAGAAAAGAGACATTGGCACCTGGCAAAAAATCATCTTCCAACTCTAGGTTCTTCGGTAATAGAGAACTGTTACTATTATTATTAACTATACTATTAACTATTATTGCTATACGTTTTATTAAAATGCACAACTTTTGTAAACTTTCGTTTCGACAAATGATTTAGATTCAATATAGATTTATCTTTTGGGAAGCCACTTTTTCTTTGGCATCAAGGTCTGTGTGCTTGCCTGGGCGCGTGTGGAAACCTACTGAGTGTGTGCTTCAGGCATTGCCTGAGTTCCTTCATCAGCAAGTGTGCAAGTTCTGCTTTTAAATTAAGGCTGCCTGCCAGGGTATTTTGTCTTTTGTTTTTAGTGCTACTGCTGGAGCTGGTGCTGGTGCTGCACTGCACGTTGCATTTTGCATACTTATGTGTTTTTTATTTACATGCCACGCTGCACGAGGCAGCAACAGTGCCATTAAATCTTGTCCGTGCTCGCCGCGCCCCTTGCCACTTGTGTTGCACGCTGGTGTTAAATTGCCCAGCAGCGCGAATTTGCATTTGCGGGCTGGCATCGTCAGGCATCAGGCGTGTGCACTGGCATGCGATGGCGTCAATGTATCTAAAGGATATACACGGCATGCCTAAGCTGCTGGCTTATGGCATGCCATCCAGCCCAGAAGCAGCGCTTCGTATAGTTCTGGCCCATAGCTGGAGGCTATACATATATTTATTTCGCCCGGCAAATCGTTTGCATTATGCATTGCTGCACGCACACAGGCAAGCGTATTTCCATAAGTGCATGCTAAGATTGCAGCCCACTCGCAGATACACTACTACACACACACACACACACATACACATAGAAACACTCGTCTGCTGGCTGATTCTGCCACAGGCAATTAGCAAAAGCCATTTGTAAATCTACTTGAGCAAATATTTGTCTGCAGCATACAAGCACATACTCAACCATTTTGTAAATCAATAACAATGTATGAGGAGGGTTTTGGTCTGTTTGTGCCCCTTGTGTGTATCTGCAACACACTCGTCAGCTTCTGTTTGCCACCGATTTGTCAACACAAATATATATAAAACGCCAACCTGTCAGGTGGCAGCTTTCAGTTGCTGCCTTACCCACTGCTGCCATGCCACTGCATTTTGCCCCTAATTCCTGAAACATTAGTCGTGTAAATATTTATGTCCACGCTTTCCAACTTTTTCCCATCGCACGACAATGCTCACACACTCTTCTTTCTGTGCATGTGTGTGTGTGTGTGTGTGTGGTGTTAGTATTTGTTGATTTGTTTGCATTTGAGTGTTTTGAATTTTGCGAACGCTGCATTTCCAATGCCAATTCCAAAAAGCATTCAACTGCTCGTTGCACGAACAAATTGCCAAAGAGTTAAGAGTGGCAGCTTTAGCCTTGGACTGTAACAATCCATTTGTTCAGTTACATGTATGTATGTGCATGTTTTTATGGTGAACAAGATTGAAATTTAAAAATAGTCAAAAATTGAATAAAAATCCATTTTGTACATTTTCAATGTCGATTGGTTTGTCACATAGCAGAACAAGCGTAACTTAATCGGATTTGTTTTTCAAAAGCTGTGGTAAATCATGGAAGAACGTCATGAATACATGGCTAACATTTTCTGGGCTCACCATTCAGAAAATTTGAAAACTTTTAACTTCGTTCACATTCTCCACTCTGCTTTTTTTGATGATTATTTATCCGGAAGCCCCAAAATATGATATCAAAAGTGACCTATTTACTAACTATTTACTTGACCAATAGCTTGCTATAAACATGAAACAGAAAATAAAGTAGGATTTCGTCCTCTAAATTCATTGATTAGTATAAGTTTGGAGCAGACCTCTATAGCGGGAATCTCGGATGGAAAGACTCAATCGAGATTACTGCACCAACTACTTAAACTGTCATCCTACAACACATCACCAAAGCAAATGAGTTTTGCTTAAATTAGTAAAATTTTTATTTTTTGGCATTTAAGAATAAAATAGTCTTTTTATATACACTATACATTCACTGTTATCCCTATTACTATATTCATTATAAGCATATTATTCTGTACAATATACTAGTTAGAGAGCGTTTAACAGTCGTGTATTCTGCAGCCTTAGCTGTCCTTTTCATTAGGTATTCATGTCCGGTACCCTTTGACAATCAATCTATCAAAAAATTAAATTAAATGCTTTCAAAAGTTTTGGGTATTGCAAACACGCTCAAAAGTTAATTTAATTGCCTTCGAAAGCCTCAACGTTTGTTCAATACATAAGGGAAAGGGCATAGGGTTGAACCAATCATGCAAAACTTGCATCAGTTCGATTAAAGGCAAATTGTTTTGATTAGATAAAAGCTATCAACAGATAAGGTACTCCCCTTATTTATATACAATTTCACGCATCAGCTTTTTTAAATAATTTTGTTCACCAAATTCGTTTAAGCCATCAACAGCCGATGTTGTAATTTGTATAAAACCAAACATACATTAAAAGCGATTATTGTAAATTGGTGTGTGCTTTTAAATGCGTTTACGTACGTGTAGTTCTCCACTTTCCATTGAGGTGGAGCCCCTATGCCTCTATTGGGGATTTCAACGCCCGCAGACGTAAACAACGGCTAAAGGTAAACAAACTGGAGACAAGCAGCTTGGCAACACGAGGCGACAATTTGGCGCGCTGTCAAAACAAAGTGCACGTTTAAATACACACACACACACACACCTACAGGCATACAAGCAAACAGACACTTAGACATGAAGACAGAGTGGAGCATATCGTATTTAAAGGGACGCGGCGACAACATCGATGGCAGTAAGCAAAACAGAGGGCATGCCTTTATAACGAAAACCATAAGAACTACACACATATACAAATGTATATGTATATATATATACCAACATCTATATAAATAGCCCCAATATACATACTATATATGTACATAAAGGGAGAGAGAAGCGTGCTTAAGTAATGGCGCGTAAATTGTTGCTGCCGTCTTAATGCGTGCCGAAACCGCAAATTCACAGCCGCTTCCAGCGCGAAAGCCAAACAACAGTCTGATAAGCGACGCGGGTAACAGGAGCTGAGGGAGCAGTGTCTATATATTTGTAGTGGCAAGTGGGGTGGCAGGTGGCAGGAAGCGGAAATGAGCAGAGCTTACTCTGCAACGAGAAAGTCGAAACAACCGCACGGGCGGGCAAATGAAACGAAGGGGTTTGAGCGGGTTGAACGCACTATGCCAGCCACTCAAAGCGGCCACCGAAACTTTCTGAGTGCCGAAAGAGCTTTCAATGCAATAGGCGTGATGTGTATACATATGTAAGTGTGCGTGCGTTTGTGTGTGCTTGTGTGTGTGTGTGTGCATTTGTTACGTCAAAGCCATGCGCTGATGCTGCGAAGCCTTCTTCTCCCACCAGCTACCTGCTGCGATTATGCTGAAGCTGAGAACGGACTGAAGGAAGCAACAAACAGAGAGTGTGAGAGCAGAACGAGAGAGAAGCCGAGCGTGGGAGAGGTAGAGTGTGCGCTCTTGTTATTGTTGTTGCCATCAGGCATTGCCAGGCGTTGTTGCCAATATTTAAATTGCGCCACTGTGCAATACGGAAAGCCAAACAACCTGCAACGATGCGAGTCTCTTAACCTAATGGGCATCGCATGGCGGCCTCGGTCTACAAGTGTGTCTGTTTTTGCATCTGTGTTGGTATGCGTGCCGTGTCCCTATCCCTGTCTCTGTCTGTGTCCGTGTCTGTTGCTCTGCTTGTCAACAAACACATGAATTGTTAACGTTGGTCGCACAGGTGAACGAGGTGCCAACAGCAAAAGACAGAGGCCGAAGCCGACGCTGAAGCGCAGGAGGCAGGACATAGTAAGCCTATTTGGCACGCAGCCAAGTGGCTCAACCAGCCAACCAGTTGCATTTACCATGCCATGGACTCGTAAATGTCAGTGCCACGATGTCAAATTGTCAGCACGTAGAGCCTGTTGCCTAAAATGCTCGACAGACGCCCCAAAGTATGCAATATAGTATTTTCACGCCCCAAAGTGCATGTACAGTGGGTTTGCCAATTGCGTGTTTATAATTTTTAATTAAATCACAGCTGAAATCGCCAAACATTAGAGCAGAAAGCAACATAGCAAAAATTTAAACACTGCATTAAATTAAAACTGGGAAGCAGCTGCTCAGCAATAGCTCTAGCATTTCACACTTATTTCGATCGAACACTCCTCTCAATTCTCTCAATTCATTGACAATTATAGAAAAGGCCATATAATAATACAAAAACTCTATTTCCATAATTAAATATTTTGACATATATTTACTATGGTGAACATTTTGCATTGATACAAGATCAATTTTGTAGAACATATTACGCATACGCACTGTGTTCAACAAAGCGAATACATGACTTAGGAAGTAAGCACAAAAAGCTGCCTTTTGGGTTTATAATTAATGATGTGAGATTTGGTTCGTCTCTATTTAATTAATTTATTTATTAGATTTTCTAAGTGATGCATATTCTCATTTATTAATGTGTTACTAAAATCGGAGTATAGTACACATACACTTACTATATTTATAATTACTGTGGGTCAGAATTGCAATCTGAGTTTGTTCGACTGTCCAATTTATTTTATAGTCAAATAACACTCTCATTATTTCATAATATTACACAATTACTAGAAACGATAAAAATAGGAATTCACACTTTATTGATTATACAACAAATTTGTAATAAAACAATATGAGGAAAGAATGATTCCCCCCAATTATACTATTTAAACTACTTTCTTCTTTTCCACATGACAATTCTAAAGCTGTCGAATTCAAGAATATCACATCAAAACTATTAAAAACAAAAAGCTTAACGATCAGCCATTTTAACGAGTCTTTAAGAATATTTCGTAAGTAACTTAAATTATTGATCTTCGTAAGATTTGAGAAAGCAAAGCAGTATTTTTTTCGGTATTTTCAAGAAGTTAATTGTAATACCAATTACTATTTAAAATCAAAGACTTGCAAGGACGTGTACAGGAAAAAGTTATTTTTAATTTGTTGTTATGTAAATGGTAAAATGTGAGTTAAATGTATTTATAAATGTCGAATGAAACACAGCTTGGCTCCCTACTCGGTCTGCTTTGCGTATTCGCACCGTGGCGTTGAATATAACGCATTAAAAAATGTTATCAATATAAATGCTTGACCCTCTCCAACGCCAAACATATGATACAATTTGCGAAGTACCTTTTTAAATTTAACCACTTGTTAAACAAAAATATCCAATTTCAAAACAAAACGCATGCACACATAGCACACACACACACACACAGCGAGAAGAAATGGAGAGCACGCTCTCTCGAGAGCGCGACGGAGAGTGCTGAGATTTTTCTACAATGCATACAGAAAATGGTTCACCAACGACGAGTGGAAAAGGCAAGAGAACAGGCACAGAGGCACCCAAGCGGACAGTTCAACACGAGAGCTCAGCGAGTGCGGACGCGCCAAGCGGATAAAAAAAAAACACAGAAACGGGCGATAGCAACGCTAAAAGCCAAACAAATCGTGGGAAACTGAAAACAGTTGAATGAAAAGCACTCGAGTATACAACAACAACAACAACAACAGCTAATGTGCAATACTAATTACGGGCGACAAATTCTTCCCAGCAATACATTCTAGTTAAACGCCTAAGAGTAGTTCGTGTGCGTATCTGCATCCTTGTGTGTGTGTGTGCCTCTGAGTGTGTGTTCGCTGCCAGGCCATTGCCATATGTGTGCCACTGCCTGAGCATTGCAACAGCTACAGCCTTAAAGTCAATCCCCGTGTTTAGCCAGCAGAGACGGCAGCATGGCCGAAATAGTCGAGCTGAATGTTGGCGGCGTCCATTATACGACCACGCTATCAACGCTCTTGCAGGACAAGTCAACGCTGCTGCATGAGCTGTTTGCCGCCGGCGCGCGCGACTCGCTAGCCAAGGACAGCAAGGGACGCTACTTCCTTGATCGCGATGGTGTGCTCTTCCGCTACATTTTGGACTTTTTGCGCGACAAGGCGCTCAACTTGCCGGAGGGCTTTCGTGAGAAGCAGCGACTGCAGCGGGAGGCGGAGCATTTCAAGCTGACGGCCATGTTGGAATTCATTCGCAACGATCGGGATGCACGGCCGCCGGGCTGCATCACCATTGGCTATCGCGGCAGCTTCCAGTTCGGCAAGGATGGACTGGCCGATGTGAAGTTTCGAAAGCTGTCTCGCATCCTGGTCTGCGGACGCGTGGCGCAGTGCCGCGAAGTCTTTGGCGACACGCTGAACGAGTCGCGTGATCCGGATCATGGTGGTCCGGATCGCTATACGTCTCGCTTCTTTCTCAAGCACTGCTTCATAGAGCAGGCCTTCGATAATCTGCACGAGCACGGATATCGCATGGCGGGCAGCTGCGGCTCTGGAACGGCAGGCTCGGCAGCAGAGCCCAAGCCTGGCGTCGATATAGAGGAGAATCGCTGGAATCACTACAATGAGTTTGTCTTCATCAGGGACTAAGCTCTGAACTGGAAGGATGTTAGTGAAGTAGCAAAGCGACACGTTAAAGTTTTCGTTTGTATGTTTGCCGTTAAGTTTGTGAACAGCTTTAACCTTATTTCTCCCACCCCCCGATTGTACACCAACACCTACAAGTACAATGAGTGTGCGAGTGTGTGTAACAAATACTTGTTATGCTCCGAGGTACAGAACAAGGGGCCCGCAGAGCCTGTGAGGCGAGCAGTCGCAGCTGGCACATCCTGTCGATGGCTTGGTTCGACCTTCGTCTTCGACTTATGCCAAGATTTTCCACTAATACTCACAGACACCCACACACACACACTAACAAATACAGCCACAGCCTCAGCCACACATACAGCCAGTTGAACGTGGAAATGTCATTCATCTTGCCGTCGAAAACGCTGCGCCTGCCAATTTTTCGGGCGCACCAACTTGTAGCTATATTATACTATATACACACACTGGTATTCAGGATATTGACTTTTAATGAGATATTTATTATGTATGTACGCAGAAGAGGCATGGCCGTGTGTGCGTGTGTGTGCGAATGTTTCTGTAATGGACAGCACTTGCAAATTTGTCTTGTAGGCAGATTCAGATTCAAATGCTGTCCATGGATCACATCAAAGCAAACAAAGCAGGCCTCTAAGCCTCACGCTCGCATGCACGTCGCATTAATTTCCCATGATTAATGCAGGAAAATTGAAAAAGTGTCAGTTAAGTTCTGCTTCTCTCTCCAAATACAATTTGTGGGAAATACTCTTAATGGCACAACTAAGGCAGGAGATTGCAGAATCTCGAACAGTGTGGGAAGAAAGATTAGTTTGAAGAATCCTGATCGCAATGTGTACACTCAATTCGGTTCCAACCTAATCCTATCACCTCCAGTGTAGTAGAGTCCTTCTAATTTATATACAATCTAAACTTTCTTGTTACTTGACCTCTGACGACCAATTGATTTAATGTTTCATTGCAAAGCCACTCCAAGTCTTTTCAGTGTTACACACCCACCTTTCTATTACAATGGGAACATGTATACAATTAAGCCTAATTGAATAATTATATTTCAAACCTAAGAGCCGTATCTGAATAACTGAACGACCTTATAGTTTGTGCAATCAGTGGCGCACAATTGTAAAACACTTCTAGCATATTTCAAATACCTCATTTATTTCGAACAACTCTTTCTCCTTGGCAGCAAATTATGTACATTTGAAATTTGAATTCAATTTCGTAGACTGCATATTTTTGCCATTTAATTGCAAGACAAGCCACGAGCTGCCATCAATTTGGGAACGAATTGCAGCCATAAAGAAGGAATACGTAATGGAATTGTTAAAAGCACTTTGATGGCCAAATACAAAGGCATCAATTTTTGTTGATGAATGACGAGCGAATTTACGAGCAGCCAACGTTGGTTCCTTGGCCCCTTCTATGCAAAGTGCTGGCAATCGCATTCCCTTACATACTTATATAAGAGGAAATCTGTGCAGTGTCCCTCAAATGTATCTACAATAAACAAAGTGAAATGAATGACGGTGTAAAACTGTAGATTTTATTAGCAGGAAATTCCAAATCGAAGTTGAAATAAAACAGAGCAAGCAGAATGAAAATAAACCGCAGAGTACGAAATATTTAAGGCAATTTATAATATGCAGAGTGAATACCATGAGTATTGGAAGAAATACACTTCTATAGCGATAGCGAATCAATCACACTCCAGAACTTACTAAAACAAACTATTCGAATACGGGTTACTTTTTGTGCAAATATAAACAAGATCTACATACATATATAGTATACCTACAAACGATATTAACTAAATGCTAATCTTTTGTGCTTTGTAGAGCATTTAAGAAATCCAAATTATTTGCAACTACAACTGCAACAACAACACAATGCAAATAATATACATATTTATGAACTTCCAAAGATAATTGTAATATTTTATTAAAGAGAAAACAATGCAGTCTAGCAAATACTATAGAGAAGATTTTGTCTACTAGTAGCCAAAGAAACCACACACTCGATAAAATACGCAAAAACCAAGGGGATTTAATATCATTCCCATAGAAAACTAAATAAGTAAATAAAACTAGAAAGATGCCATAGGGTATACTAAAAACAAAAACAGAGACAAACAGCAAAATAAAAGCATAAAGAGGCAGCGAGCAGCTAGCAACATCTGGCGCATAAATAATCCAAAGGCGCTGTCAAAAATGTTGGCCAAAATGCAGCCAATAAAAAGCTAACATAAAGAATTTAGTTTACACACATATACCATATACATACTTCTATACACACACACACACACACGCACACCACACACACCCAGCACGCACCCACCCACAATCAATATTAACAACATATTTATTATCGAAATCGAACAAAAGCGCAGAGGGTAGCAAACTGTCATATGCCGGCCCATAAATGTATATGATGCTGTCAATATCGTCTCTGTGGGCGTGCGGGTATGTATGTATGGTGTGTGCGTGTGTGTGTGCGCCAGTAAGTATTTAAGTGAAAAGTTTTTCCATTATAAAAAACCACAAAATTTGGTGAATTTTACGTGCGACATATAACCAACACTTTTGCTCGACATCTATTGATATCTAAACAGCTAATCGAGTATGGAGTAGAATGCGTGTTCGTGTGCGTGCGTGTTTAAGAAAAGCAGTTACTTAGCATTTTTGAAACTTCCAACTTCCAACTTGGTTCTAGTAGCACGTGTCTCGAACCTCAGGATCATTATTTCGATCCAAATAAAGTTATCTTTTGAAATTGTTTACTATGTCAAGTTTTCTGGTTGTTGTTTCATTTCGATTAATTGGTAGATCCTGCAGCAACCATTTGGCATCAGTTCTCCTCAAGTTTGTGGTCCCTGGTGGACAGCTAAGTCATTCATTTAAATTCACATTAAAGTAGAATGAAATATTATAGCTGGTTCTATAAGGTCTCTACAATCCTTTTAGGATAATATTCCACTGTGTATCCCACTTGTTATTTCAATGTGGCTCACAACTCAAGTCATCTTCAACGCACAGCCACACAAACACACATTATATTCCAGACTCTCCTTCCAACATTTAGCTAGTCTTTGTTGCATGAACGACAACAGTGCACGGCAAAGACTATGAGCCCCCACAAATGGTGTCGAGCAACCGCAGTTGGTCACATGTCCCACGTGGGAGGCAACAAGTTAATACTCATATACATATTTATATTTTTGACTTATAAGCGTATGCCAAAGAGATGACACGATAAACTTCCATCGTACGGAATTATTCATAAAATGATTTAATCTACAAGAAAAAAGATAAACATACCAAAAAATTTGCTGAACTTTTTAACAGAAACATTTTCATTTTGATTTAAGTCTTTAAATAAATCAATTCTTTTTGAAAAAATCAACAACAACAATGAATTCAAATGCTGTGAAACAATAATGCTTGGGCGCTTTAATGGCAACTCATTAAAAAAGATATTTGCAATAAAAACTCATTAAAAATGTTTTTCCTCGCTGACATATCTCGTATCGCATTTCCACACACGCGGCGTTCGCACGGTCATTAGTTTATTGTTGTTGTTGTTGTTTTTGTATAACCAATGAATTTTCCAGAAGTAAACATATAGCAAGCAGTTGTGTGGCGCTTTCGGAAAACTCAGAGAGGAAGTCTCTTATTTGTTGATAAACACATTACACGAAGACGAAATAACATATGTATAAATAAATTGTTGAACTAAAATAAAAATGAAAATGAAAATCGCAGCGCACTGCGTCTTTACTAAAAGAGAAATAAAATTGGGAAAAATGCATGGTTCCATTGATGAAAAACTATAAAGCTCCATTATAGAAAATTATTGAAAACATAGCGAAAATGCGCATATATATAAATATATATTTAAATAAATTGTCGATATTGAAGTATCTATAAATGTTTAGAATTAATTGAGTCAAATGAATATAAATTCGGCGAGGAACACTAAAACGTATTATTAATTAAATTAAAATAACTTAACCTAATCTAAATTGAAGCAAGCGAAAGCCAAGAGCCTATCAGAGAGCGAAAAATGAAAGAAATACTATATATGTAAAGATATACTTGAAATAATAAAAAACAGAGAAAAACCACGACTTGCTTTTGTGTATTTTTTACTTAATTAGTTCAGTCTATTTGGAGTAAGTTTTTACCTTTCCCCATGAGGTACATTTCCAAACTTAAATGGTTATGTTTCTGAAGTTGTATAGAAAGCGATTCTTGCTCTACTTTGAAATACTGTCTACCTGAAAGCAATATATGTCTAAAGAATGCAGTTACTATGCACTTTACAGAGAAAGTGATATCTTCTTCTACTCCCTTTGTTACTGCGTTATTAAGCTCCACTTTATGGAATATGAAATATGGCCGTATTACTTATCATCATTCATTTTTTTCAAATTTGAATTTTAAATTAAAACCCTGTTTAATTTGAAATGAGATAGCTGATTTTTATAATTCTAAAACCACAAAACCAGCAAACAAATTTTTAATCTAATAAAATAAAAGTATGTACAACATCAAATATTACTTCCAACATGTTTCTAATAAAGGAAAAACAAATATGCTAACGGTTAAAACTTGATTCAGTGGACAGGAAATGCTGCCTTGAAGATATAAGATACAACATGTTGTCTAATATGGACTCATTGGTGAGTGCTCGATCCTTTTGAAAATGTCGAGTTTAAAGAAAAACCCACAACCATTGAGGTTCAACTACTTTATTTCCGGTTAGCAAATGCAGAGATCAGCATATTGTTGTTGTGTCGACACCAAAACGTAGTATTTATTATGGAAATTTCTAAATAGTCTATTGCTGACTGATACACAAATATCCTTTCAATAAAGTAACTAATAATTTTGGACTCATTTATCCCTTTTGAGAACAGAGCACATCTGCTACCGGTCTTATCAATTTTAGTTTTTCTTCAATTCTGAATCTACGTTCATAAATTTTATTTCATTTTTTTCATAACACATAACATTTGAGGTGTGACCCTTCCCGCAGAACGAAGCTTCATCCATAATTTATCGCATGTTGCGTTTATTAGCTTTAATTATTTATGACATTTTCTTTATTCATTGACCTGCCTACCGCCCACAAATTTCACCGAAGCATCGTTAATTGTGGCAATAAAATTTATGAACTGTGTCCTGTGTTTTTGTTTTCGTTTGTGTGAGAGTGTGTGTGTGTGTGTATGCGTTTGTGTCTCATTAAAATTGATAAGTGAAACAAAGAGCTTTCGTTCAGTTGGCCACAACTTGGCACAAAAACAAACAAAATCATAATTTCATTAAAAATACATTTGACGAAAGGAGCAGAACACGGCCAAAGAAAAACTTTGAATGCCTCATGGGCTGATGGGCTGACGGGCTGACGGGCTGAAGGGATTCTGGGATGCTGAGCCAAAGAGTGAGTGAGAGAGGCGTGTCATCATAAAATATGCGCGTTTCGAAAAATGAGAAAAGTTGCTGGCACGTAAATGTCACATGAAGCATGGCCCATACGCATATACGCGTATATCTTTGTTAGCAGGCGTTGGAGCGCAGAATATGTCGCAAATAGGGGAAAAGATGTATGGCTGGCTGCCAAGACGTCAAAGAAAGAAAGAAAGAAACGCGCGCGCAACGCGCTATTTGTTCAAATTCAAAACAGGCAGCAATAATTTACTCACACACCCACACTTGCATACTTATTCCCAACCATTTACAGGCAGAAAGGGGCACACTTAAAGCTGCTCCAGCGAAGTGAAACAAAACGTGAACAGAGCACAACAAACATGTTTAAATTAAAAGCAAAAGAACGCAAAAGCTTTCGTACACTACGCTTTAATGTTTGCTTCCCCAATGTGCGTGTTGAAGTGTGCTTGAAGAGAAAGCAAAGCCAAAAGGCAGGTACAAACGTGAAAAACAAAGTGAAAGCCGAGGGGTGGGTGCACAAAAGATAGAACTCAAATTGCAGCGCCTAAAAGCACACAACACAAAAAACAAGCGAAGCACGCCGGCCAGCACTTTGAACTTTTTGGGGAACGGATGGAAAATTCAAGCTGCTACCTGCATATAAAACAGCCTCCCACAACACACCCTGCAAACACATTCTATGGTGAAAAAAGTTCAGCTGTGGATGTGAAGGAAAAAGTTATTATATCTGATATTAACTAGAAAATTATATTGGCTGCGCATTTTTAATGATTCCGCTTTCATTTTAAGCAATTTAAATGTCTTTCAACATTCTCTCTGCCACGAAAGAATCGACTACTAAAGAATGATAAGTAAGCAATACTAATGTTTATTGTTTTTATAAATAGCATTTTCCCCATTTAAAATGATACATCACCTAATTACTGCTTAGAGGATAACAAAGAGGCGATAATTGTCCCATTTCCAGTCTGAAAGTTTCTTTAAAAACAAAAATAAAAACCGCACCAAATGTTTTCAAGGTACACACCCACAAATCCACCCGACAAATGCTCACCATTTTCAGCTGTTGCCCAAACGAGGCACGTATTTTTTCGCCTTTTCTTTATTGACTAGCTACGAGTACCATACCTGTACGAAGTCTAGAGTGGCAAACGCCAAACAAAAAAAAAAACGAAAAACTGAGGGGCGCAGGTAGAAGATGCAGGCGACCAGTCCCTTTAAGTTTACGCAGATAAATGAGCGTCGTCGATGTTCGAGGGATCATAGTGGTTGTTATGCAAAGTTGGATGCTTCGGCTGTCTGATTCGCGAGTATGCACCGTGGGTGTGGGCCTGTAATTTATGTAAAACACTCATATAATTCATATATCAAAGCGAACTCCCCTTGGGGCGATTAGTCAGTGTCAGGTTAATACTGAAGGCTTTTAAGAACAGCATTTAGCATTTTTCATTTACTATTATTGGGAATCAACTGCCGTTTCAAACAGCAGAGAAAGCGCGAAAGCGAGACAAAATTTGAAAAATATGATCAAATAAATAATGCACACCAAATCGATGGACACTTTTGCAGTTCTCCCAATAACTGGAACAAATTTATAAGGCAGTGTTGATTTTATTCCCATTTTCTCGTTTTAAGTAAAATGTTGAGTGCTTTCATTTTACAAAAGCACAAAATGCTTTTTGTAGAATATTTGATTATTTTATATATTTTTTTTAAATGTGATTTTTCTCTAGCTATTTATGCCAAAAAATCCTTTACATTACCGTCTTTAGCCATGTTCTTAAATCATTTACAATGATATGCAAAAACTTGTAACTATATACAAATATGTCTAAGAAAGGCTCACTGTACGCTTTATCGTGCAATGAGGCTCCAACGACTTGCCAAAATCTTGACGACCTAGCTCTGCACGCCCGGCCGCACACACACATACGCAAAAGAGCCGGCAGGCTGGAAAACAGACAGATAGATGGAAGGAAACTCGGGGGCCACCCATCCTCCCATGTCTGCCAACAACATGGAAATGAAATGATGCCTTTTTGTCTTTTACGCTAAATTACCTTGATTTGATTTCGCAGACAGACTGAAAACGCCGGGGCGAACTTTTGCCATCCGTGCGATGTGCGTGATTAACGTTCCCTGCGTTTGACGCATCATCAGGAACAATGGAGGCGGCGGCGGCGGCGCCTCCGGCAGCTGCACCGGCGACGACGACGATGACGATGCTGGCAATGGCGATAAACGAGAAAGATGACGGGCTACGGCGAACAGGAAGGAAAAGGTTCACAGTGCGTGTGACATGCTGTCATTTTCAATTAATTTGAGAAAGTCTCCTAATAAATTTTACCGTGTGCCCAAAAAATAAATGGCCGCTAGGCAGGCACAGGTTCGACACATAAACGAGCACCTGGAAGCCTTTCTACTTGCCTTTCTGCCTGCCTGTCAGCCGCACGTAGCCTCAAGTCCCCGCTGGCCTTATTAATTCATAAATAAAATTTCTAATATGCTCTTGCAGTTGCTACCACGCCGCCAACATGGCGACCCTTTGCGTCGTCTTAAATTAAATTTATGTCATTTTATTATGTGGCACACGCAAAATATAAAAAGGGGGTCGCACAACGACATCGACAAATGCCGTTACGTTACACCATTTCTGTTTTTCCCGCCCCTAACTACTCGGTTCAACCCTTCTGCCTCTCCGCCTCAGACGATTGCGACAGTTAAGCCAAAATGTGTAGCACACTTTTTTGCAACTCGGCTCGACGTTTAAGTTGGCGGAATTAGTGTATACATATCAGAGCATCCTTGTGGCAGTCAAGTCGCTATTTTGTGTATTTAATTAAGCGCCTATGCATACAGAGGACAAACATATAGGGTTTATCTTGCACACAAGCATTTCCGATACAACATATTGGTACATTCGTGGAAATTTCCCTCTTGGAAGTGGTTAAGTATTTTAAAGTTTGTGTGCTGGCTTTGTATTGAAGAGTTTTCTTGTTAAAAGTGTATTGCAGAATAAGTGAGGCTAATGCTCGTTTGCATTTAATCCTGCATGTCCTTGTGTCAGCATTAGTTTAATTTAAAACTGCCCGACACTTCCCGAAGCGTTTGCTTATGAGTCTTCCTTGTATGGTTACAAATTAAGCAAGAAGCCTGAATTGTTCATTATATAACCGAATATATTTCATTGCTAAGAAGTTCTATAAGCTATCTAGTTTCAATAAAAACTCATTTTATGTTATATATATATATAAATGGTTCCATGATTCCACAATTACTTGTAATACTTCATTTTAAAACAACGTGCATATTGAGGGGAAAACATGTAGATTAATCATTTTAATTGTATTTTTATTTAAATGTGAGCAGTATTGAAATAATGCCAGTTTTCTCTCGGTGTATGCACTTCAAAGTCGTATGAGGCGGCGCCAACGCGAGCGCGAGCATCTGCTTGCATGATGAGCTTAATTAGATTTTTTATGTCCTCGTTGCCGCACATTAATTGACATTTAAAACTTTTTAATTGAAAAGTCAAGTGTTTCGTTGCCAGCTTGCTAAAGGTGCTGTATGTGGCACCCAAGAGAACGCGTCTTCAAATAGACTCCAGCTTTTGCTGCTGATGTGCGTTTGTTCATTTTGTTCATTTCATTTGAACAATATCTCTCGCTCTCTGTAC